TTAGGTGTGTCCCGCGCGCTCATATGACCTTATGCAGTTGCCAGCGCCGTAAAACACTTTACAAAAACAAAACAAAACTCTTACTAAAACGTAAAACGTAGTGTAGTTTCTGCCAGCCTCATTTTTCTGCCACCTCTTCACAGCGCCCTCTTTAGAAAACATCTTTCGGGAGACGGGCATCTGGCACCCTTGCCTCATGGCCAGCCCATCTCAGCCTAGCCACGAGGCTGTTATCATTAAACAAAGACAATATGGTGCATCACACAGATCACTCACACAGGGCTAACATTTTGCATGCCCTGGATTAGCTCACTTGCTGTCACGCTAGACTGCTGTGCATATGACCTTGGTTCGAATCCCCAGTGGGATGCTCTTATATTCTGAGTTGATTGAGGAGTTCGCAAAGCATTCCGCCCATATGTCCCGTCGAATATGAGTTTTACAATTGATGGTCCCGCCTCATGCATAATGACAGGGAACCCAAACCCATGTTTTATAAATACCATGCCCTTCCTTAAATTAGTCCAAAGCGAGGGGGTGGAAATGTATAAATGGGGATGTATCAAAGTGTTGCCAATCTGACAAAGTGTAGTTGTACGTTTTTTTACGTCCCGATCGACACATTTTAGTTCATTTAGAGAGCAGAGCTACTTCAAGCCTGCCAGTCGTTAGGGTGAACTCGGGCTGCAGTAGAAAAATGTATCATCCAGGCCGGCAAAGAGAGTTACTGGATGGGGCTCTCGTGGTCTAGATGTTACAGTGTTCGCCTCTCATCAATAGGTCCCGGGTTCGAAACTTGACAAAGACGGAAAATGTTATCCTTTCACCTCGCTCCTGCTCTCTAACCGTGTTCTGTAGTCTGCTTTCGTCTCCACTTTCTGCTCCCTCCCCTTTACCCCCTCTTCTGGGCTCCTTGCCCTTTCTGCAGCCTTTCTGCTGCTACTCCATGGCTCTTTCTTACTGCTGTCTTTCAGCCACGCCCCTTATCTTATGGTAGGTAAGATCTAACACCAAGCCTTCTCGGATAAGGAAGAAAATTCTCTGAGGTCCCGCATGCAAGTTGCGCACGTTAACGATCCCTTGATGGTTCAAAATCAATAAGAGCTGGCTTCGGCGGCCACCCGGGCAAGATTCAAAATTTCCTATGGAAATGTTTAATGTCTCCCGCGCTTATATGACTTTATGCACTTGCAAGCGCCGTAAAACACTTATCAGAACAAACGAACAAACGAAGGCTCTGGATTTAACCCCCCCCCCCCCCAAATTGCTCTCCCCAGATTGTGCGGCTACCCCCCGTTCTATGACGAGAACGACGCCGAGCTGTTCAAGCAGATCCTCAAGGCTCAGTACGAGTTCGACTCACCCTTCTGGGACGAGATCTCAGACTCGGGTAAGTGGGTGGTTGACGGGTACTCTGGTGTGATTTGCTTCTTCTTTCCTATCAAACAACTATCGTCTTTATCTCTCCTCCTTATTTTTTATGTTTGTTACTCTCTTGTAACACCTGTAATCTTCGGCACTTACGTTTGCCACAATAACGTTTTATAGTTGGGAGTTCGGGTTATTCCACTTTTGGCCTCAACGATTACTGTTACGTATACTAGGCCTACCCTACCCGTACCTCTATATCTATCCCTACCCCTTACCCCACACCTCTTTCTCCTACCCCTACCCCTTTCACCTACCCCTACCCTTACCTCGCTTAGGTCTGCTGGGGTAATAATATAGATTGCAAAGCGCTTAGTATTTGCTGTTGATGGCTGCTGGTGCCTCTATAAATAAATCATTGATGGTCAAGTGTTTGCTGTTGATGGCTGGTGCCTCTATGAATAAATCATTGATGGTCAAGTGTTTGGTGCTGATGGCTGTTGTCTCTATAAATAAATCATTGATGGTCAAGTGTTTGCTGCAGAGTGGGAGTTTTGAGTCCGAGATTGGTCTGTATCGCTTTCGCTCTACCTTCTTCTTCTTCTTAACTTTTTATCAGTAGTTCGATGTTGCTTCTCGGACCTTCCTGCAATAAAATACCCTGTCACTTGCTACGCTGCTTGCCTGAGCCGTTTTGGTTCCAAGCCAGGTTTCTATGGCCTGTTCCCATCGACTCATAGGTTCCCCATTCTTGTCTGGCCTTCTTCCTTTGCTTCCAGAATATGTTTTTCATGTAAATCAATGGCATTTGAAATGCCGACCGTTCAGTTTCAGTTTCATTACATTTTCGAGGAGTGTTGACTTTTCTCTACCTATTATTTTTTAGTACTTCTTCATTCTTTACTTGCTGTCTCCAGTATTCTTTTTATTCAGTTTTGATCAGGCTACTGGGATAATAAAATCGTGAGACTGCGGGTTCGTTGATTTAAAGCCCAGCTCGGTGCCACGTTGTTTCCTGGGGAAAGGCTATTCGCTACCTCAGAATTAAAAGTTCCATCTGACATTTTTAGCAGTTTTGAGTTACTAAGACCGTAAAAATCGTAATAATTATTCTGAATCCTTATCGAGATATTCAAAGAATTGCATTCTTATAACTTTGACACATAGCGAAACTTCAAATTTTTAACCTCAAATTTCTCAGAACTGGGTACTGAGCAGATAGTACTCTGTTATTCAAGGGTAGAATAATTTTCACGAATGTTCCCAGTTGGTTTGGACATACCAGAGATGTGTGCTAACGGGGGTCCTACCTCTTAAATAACCCTACAGTGTTTGCGAGGGGCATTAATAAACCTATACCATTTTATTTTTTCCCCTCTCGCTGTCCTTTTTTTCCTGATGAGGGACTTATTGTGATCTGCCTTTCTGCCTTTGATATGACGTACAATGCATTTACTGGGGCGCTTTTATGTAGGCCAGCTTCAGCAAAAGTAACAGGAACTGTACAATTTCGCAACCTCTCGGCTTTAATTTTTTTTTTTTTAAGCTGTACATCGGAGAATTCATTTCCGGGTACTTTCTTCGTTGTTGTTTTTTTGTCTGGATATTTTTTTTCATTGTTCTGTATTGCTTTTTCTGATATTCTCCATTGGTAAAACACAATTCAGTTGAAAGGGAAAAGGATAGTATTATACTGGGGAAATGTCACGGTTTCTCTCTCTCTCTCTCTCTCTCTCTCTCTCTCTCTCTCTCTCTCTCTCTCTCTCTCTCTCTCGTGTGAATAGTCACTCTTTCTTAGAAGTGCGTGCACGATGAAGAAGTAAAAAGATAGGAAGTTGTTTTATTTTCTCGCTGAGGTCTCCAATGACACCGGGCGGCCTCTTCCTCTATTTATTATTTAATAGTGTTGCCCACTCACATCAGAATATTTCAGAATCGACTCGTCTTTTTTTTTGTGAATACACGATTCAACATGTCGACATTGAAAGCCCTGATGGGGGTGCTTTTCGACTTTGAAATCGACAAACGACTGTCCAGGGATTTCGGTGTAGAATTACGTCTTAGCACTCAAATCGAGCGTTTCGACATCGACAAGGTTGTTCACAACTCCCTCCACTCCCCTCCTCCTATCCCCCCCCCCCCTTCTATTCCCGCCCTCACCCTCTCCCGGTCCCCAGCCTCCACTTAGTAGTGACCAAGGCTACTGTTCGGACGAAGTGATGAGAGGGAGGAAAGGGGGGAGAGAGAGAGGGGGGGGGGGTTATCTTATAGGTTAATTGAAAGCTTTTGGAAAGAATAGGTTAAAGGAAGGGAGGTGGAGAGAGAGAGAGAGAGTCAGTGAGAGACAGAAAGAAGGAAAGACAGAGAGACAGACACACAGACAGACAGACAGGGACACAGAGAGAGAGAGAAAGTAATCTTGTAGATTTAATTGAAAGCTTTTCGGAAAGAACAGCCAAAAGGTAGGGAAGAGGAGAGACAGAAAGAATGAAAGATACGGAGAGAGAGAGAGAGAAAGAGAGAGAGAGAGAGAGAGAGAGAGAGAGAGAGAGAGAGAGAGAGAGAATAACCGGGCGGATTAGTTGAAAGATTTTCAGAAGGGAGGAACAGACAGACAGACAAATTAAAACGAGAGAACAGATAGACAGACAAAGTTACAGGAGGGAAGAGAGAGACAGACGCACAGATAGACAGACAGACAAACAAAAATAGAGAAAGAAAATATAAGAGAGCGAGGGACAGTAACCGTGTAGATCAATTGAGAACTTCTCTGAAGGAATAAGTTGCTTGCAGATGAAAGGACGCAGCTGCCGGCCTTCAAATGCTTAAGTTACTTTTTCTGTTTTTTCGTTTTTGTTCTTGCTTTTTGTTTTTGTTTGTTTGTTGTTGTCGGTTTTTTCCCTTGGTTTTGGGTTGGGGTTTGTTGTTTTGTTTTGTTTGTTTGGGTTTTTTTGGTGAGTAATATTATTTTTTTGATATCTCGAGGCCGCGCGAAATGTTCCCGCTATTGCACAATTCTGTAAGTGGATCCGAAAATATCGAATAATTCTTTAACATGAAAACTCTTTTTTTTCATGTAGACTATTTTATTTTCATTATTTTGCAATTATTGTGTCGGGTCTTTGAACTCAACAGGCAAGTAATCGACTTAGTGGGGTTTTTTATTTTTATTTTTTCAAATTTAAATAAAGTCATATTTTTACAGTGTTACGAAAATATTAGTGAGGAGGTGGGCGTTGTATTTTTCCACTCCCTCCCGTAACAGCCAAAACAGGCAAAAAACGTGAATTGGGAGATATTGTAAAGATGGTGATGGAGATGATGATGATGATTGTGTTTTCCCTATACTTATTAAATTCCTTGAGAAGCCTTACGTTCGAGACCATAAACATCTTTCAAACTATCATAAATCCCTATACTTATTAAATTCCTTGAGAAGCCTTACATTCGAGATCATAAACATCTTTCAAACTATCATAAATTGGTCAAAACATTACCCAAATCTTCACCTTTAATTGGTCAAAACATTACCAAAAATGTCACTTTTTTATGCTCTTCTACAATTATAATGATGATAATGGTGATAATAAAATTTTATCACCCTCTTCATCAAAATAATTAACAAACTTAATCGCTTGGACCTGCTGATTTGCAAACCCCATAAAAATAATGTCCAATATCCAGAAGAAAAAAAATTATTCTTTGTCACCACCCAACTCCACCCCCTCCATCTGCCTCTTCTCCTTTTGCCCCTTCTCCCCCTCCCTTCCTTCTCCTCCTCCTCCTCTTCCTCCTCCTCCTCCTCTCCTCCTCTTCCTCCTCCTCCTCCTCCTCTTCTTCCACCTCCTTCTCCCCCTCTTCCTCCTCTTCATCCACCTCCTTCTCCCCCTTCTTCCTCCTCCTCATCCCTTCTCCTCCTGCTCCTTTCTCCTCATACTCCTCCCTTCTCCTCATACTCCCTTTTCCTCCTCCTGCTCCTCAGTTTGCTTTAACTATAATATTAAGGTTTGAGTTGTAATGTTTCTGTTGTTCTTTTTCAGCCAAGGACTTTATCCGACACTTGATGTGTAAAGAGCCCATGTCAAGGTTCACGTGTAAAGGAGCGATCGCCCATCCCTGGTGAGTTCTGATGTTACAGTGTGGGAGGTGGCACTCATTTACTGGAGGGGGGGGGGACTTTGCATACATTGAGTGTTTATCCGCCTTTGTTTGTGACTATAATTACTTCTGGCTGAAAATGTGTATTCATCAGTATGTATGAAACGAATGATACTGATTTATGCAGTGAAGGAAGTGTCCTGAAAAGGAGTACTTGCTTGGATTTCTCTTTTCTGTAAGGCAAAAATGTTCAAATTCAACTTTTTTTTTCCTTTTCATTAAAAGGATGGACCTGTCTTAGAGATTACATGAGACAATGTTCTTGGACTTACTTCACTTGACCCAATATTGCTGATATCAGAGGAAATTGCTGAGCTTCCTATCAGGGAAAACGCTTTTTCTTAATATGTTACTCATCAATATATGTAGATGTGTACCTGCCTTTCTGAATTTGCCTATTGCTTCTACAGAAATGGCTGAAATCTGGTATATATGATGATTGTAAATGCTGTACACCTTCATCCACACTATTTACATAAATTGGGAGGCAGGCTGCTTTGACCATAACTGTTTGGGATGAATTGGTAGACCTACAGATTCCGAACAGAAAAACGAAGACACTTCGACATTATTTTAGAATTACAAAGCTCTACCTGACATTTTGGGCTGTTTTAAAGCTGCTTAGACCTTGAGGTCAGAAACCAAATGCTCTTTCAAAATCGTAAGATTGTTCGGAGTTGTAATCAAGATTTTCAAAGAATTGCATTCAGAAAAACTTAACCTGTTGTGAAACTAGAATTATTACATCAAATTTCTCTAAACTAGGTAATGAGTGGACGGAACTTTGTAATTCTAGGGTAGTGTCTTGATAAAAGAGACCTTCCCTGCAGGAGAATAGAACACACTTCAATCACACACATGGAGGAAGAGTGTAGTAATTACTCCACGGACAATGGTGAGATCTCTTGTCCACATCTACATCAAAAGCGGTTAAACTGTATATTATTATATATGCATAGACAAATGAACACTGCTGAATAGTGCTGAAGCTAAGAGGGAAGCCCGCAAGCTGCATACATCCGCAAGTTGAAATGAAGCTTTTAAAAGCTCTAACTCAAACTGGGACAAACTCTTCTCTGTCAAAGTTGGTCTCTTTGACCAAAGCAGAAGCCGCAAGTCATCTTAATGGTTATTCTTCTGTTTCTCTACTCTGCAGATGCATTGGTCTTCATCAGACATTGATGGACAAGTTATTATTGTTATTAGTTGGGTTTTTTTATTATTATTATCATTATTACTATAATCATCATCATTAACCATGTATACATTATAACTGCAATGTTTCTGTTCCAGGATTTCTGGAAATGCTGCGCTGGACAAGAACATTCATGCTTCTGTGAAGGCCCAAATGCTCAAAACGTTTGCCCGTATGAAGTGGAAAGTAAGTAATGAAAATAGTTACCCCATTCTGTTCTGGAAATTGAGAGATAGAAGTCGAATGATAAACACTCCTCTTTGCACTATATTTATAGTATAAGGAGTAAAGTGTGACCTGTTCCTCCTCCTTATTCAGTCCTTTTTTTCTTCTAGTCTTTTTTGTCAAAATATAGACAATAACAAGCCAATTCACTTTAAACAACGACCTCCCAATAATAACACTAGCTCTGTTTGGACAAACATTTCTAGCTCTTTAATTTCTATACTTTTTTTTTTTATTGGATGATATACTACTCACAAAGACTTGGAATAATATTAAGAGACAAAATGAGGAAAAGGAATAATGGAAACTGTTTGTTCATGGCCCCCAGATTTGCCCATCATTACGAATTTGGCTGAATCATTACGATTTTTTTTCAATTTCATGAAAGAATGGTCGTATCACCCCTAGTTCCAATTTTTTAAAATGTATTTGCCATTTGGCTACCCCAACCCATCTCCACCCTCCTTGTGCATAAAGAAGAAGAACAGTCAGACGGTGATAGTCTAGGTCACTACATGTACATCCTGTGCAGCCGTCTAACTTTTGATTCCCCTGTGCATACAGTCTTTGTAGATGCTCAGTGCTGTGTTGTCTGTAGAAAAACATTAATTGTAAGTGCATTAGTTGTGTGTCATTAGAAACATATCCTAGTTGTGCCAGAGTCAGGAGTAAGGCAAACATTAGTTTGACATGGTCTAATAAAGTCCCATCTGATTCTTTTGTTTTTTCCAAGAGCCCAGCCAGCAGCCACTTCCTCCCTTCCAGCACACACACACACACACACACCCTGGCCCACATACTCACACCACTCCCTTTTCCCTGCTAGGATGAGCGAAGACTGCTTTCATCGTGTCTTTGTTTCTTTTATTTTTATCCTTGACCCTACAACGCCTGTCCTTGACACCCCAGGGAAAAAGACTGTCCTTGGCCACATTACGAATTTTTAAGCCAGATTACTCTTTACATTTGATTACTAAAACGTATACTGATGGCGGGGTAACCTTGCTATACCCTGATCCAATGGGAGAAAGGCAATGATGATAGTGATGATAACCACTTATAAATGTTTTCATATTTACGTCTGTCAGTATGATTTTGGCCTTTACACAAAAACCACAGAAAATTTTGCTTATGTTCTGTTAGTTTCACTTTTAACTAATGCTTGCATGTGGTCTCCGTTCTCAGCAAGCGTACAACGCGACGGCTGTCATTCGTCAGATGAAGAAGCTGGTGGTGAACAAGGAGGAGAACAGCAGCAACCATGCCAGCACAGCCACCGCCACCCCAGCCGCGGGCAATGGCAGCGGTCAATGAGTGTGTCCAGCCCGGCTGTCTTTCCAACTCTCCACATCGCTGATGGCCAAAAAGCACACAGATCCAAGGTTCACTGCGTTGTCCGTGTCTCGTGCGGAACTCGAAACAGACAACAAGATGATATATCTTCTTGGGAGGGGCAGCTTGGGGCAGGTTTCACAGCCTCTGCCTGCTCTGTGTGGATGCCTCAGATTCACATCTTCAGATCTGGGACACTTCTGGCTGGTGGTCAGTTGTATGGATGCTAACTTGTAAAGGAAGATCTGGGTTTATTTTTATTTTGTAGGAAATGTATTGTTCAGGAAAGTTACCTTTAAGAAAAGCTGATGAGTGATCGCAGAGTTTTTTAGACAATGACCATGATGGTCTGTAAAGATTTTATTTTCTTTGAAGATATGGGCATGCCCAAAGAGAATAACTTAAGGGAACGGTAGTTTATCTTATATTTTGTAGAAGAAGAAGGACTAGTCAGTTTATGATGTGTCCCCTGTTTTTGTAATGCTATTAAGAAATTTTCTGTCTGAGAGAGAAGGCATGGAGTTTCCGTCTTGCCTGGCATGTTGGGACTGTTGAGCCTTATTGGTCAGAGGAATACTTCTTCTCTGACAAATCTTCAGATGTTCATCTGCAGCCATCTCGACTTATTTTCTTAGTACTTTTTTCAGCTTGTTCTTTTATGTCAAAAGTACTTAAAAATACTTAGATTTTAGTATTGAAAGCTTATTTTAATTTTTTTTTTAAAGCGGATTTTATTAGACTATCATTGTACTTAACTGCAGGGTCTGTATAATTGTGTCTGTCAGTGAGCAGTGGATGTTTCTGTGTGTTGATTGTGCGAGTGTTGTCAACATGACAATTACAACTACTGACTGGGTCACTCCTCTATTTGTCATAATAATCCATCGGACCCTGGATCCTATAACACCTAATTACAACTTTCCTTATACATGAAAAATTATTTGCATTCTTTTCAAGTTAAGACGTTTATTGGAAATTTCTTGTTGTATGGAAGTGAATGTTCGAATGAGGTCAAAATACCTGTAAATGAGTGACATGCCTAATAGTGTGGGATGTACTTGAGGAAGAAATTTCTTTGGCTGTTGTTCATATTCATATATTGTCTTGTTGTACACTTTCAAATTCGTTTCTTTCATGACAAATTTGAGCACAAGTTTTGTTTGGGGAAAATGTTATTGACTTATGATGTTGTTTTGAATTGTATCCCCAAAATGTTTTTGGTGAAAGGACAAACACGACAGTATTGGTGGGCTCGCTCATGACGTTTCATCCTCTGATATTATCTTCTGACTATTTCTACGTATCGATGAGTTCTCCCGCCGAGCCATCGCTCCTCTTTCTACTTCTGGGCCTGCTATTTTCTCCCTAGCATTATGGGCTGCTTGCCCACATGCTTCCCTTAAACTTTACTATTCTCCAAGACAGATACTTCCATTTAGCTCTGATGTTGTTCCTATTTGTTGTATTGCATTGTTTCAAATTTTCTCGCACTCTCATGAATGCGCTCGCATAAAACTTCGTTATATTCCCTCTCCTGTGCAAAGTGTCAATGAGACCCTCACTGACTGGTCAAAAGTTCTGCCAGAAACTACACGCACGTGTCAGCTCCATGACCTACAGACTCGTCGCATAGCCTACTTTCCTGGCCACTGAAGGTTGAAGCATATGTGAGGCATCGTGGTGAAATCAGGCACTCGTCAAAATAATGAAATCGGAGAAACTGGCATTTTCTGTCCGTTAGGCAATTTTTATTGAATTTTCGTTTTTTGACTCAACACCTTTAAGGTCAATTTAAAAACACATTTCTGTGTGGATTTTACTGAAAAATGTTGATTTAATGCACAAAAAATGTAAGTTTGCAGTTTCTAAGGACACTCAGGCTTTGGAAATCGCCGAACTTTGGCAGCCATTTTCTCACTAATGTTACCTCTGAAACCAGCCAAAAGCAGAGACAAGTGGCTAAACAGATGGGCCAACGCAGAAACAGGAAGATCTCTCTTCGGGTACATGGACAAACCCAACCCCAAAGACCCATCGAATCTCTTATGTAGAGCTGATCAGACTTTGATCTTCAGAGCGCGCACAGGACACTTACACACCAACAAGCACATAAATAGAATTAAGCCCATGTGGGAACCCCATTGCAGACACTGTGACTACCCTGAGGAGACCGTTGAACATCTTCTCCTTCACTGCCCAAACCTGGCAGTTCTTCGACGCAGGCTCCTACACACACTTACAGACTTACAAAGCCTGCTCTACTCTGGCGCTGACCAGATGACAAGGACATGTGGTTACTTGAGGGAGGCATTGCGCTGCCAAGAGCGAAATGCTCGCAGCTAAAGGGATTTGAAAACAACAACAACAACAACAACCTCTGGAACCAGGCGACTCCCACCTCCTTCAATCGCAAAGATCTCGACTTCTATTCCGCGAACTTCTATTTATAGGGGGGGGGGGGGGGTTCTCTTAAAGAAAGACAAATAAACAAGCTTTAAGGTTGTACCAATAACTCCATATACCCAAAAATTGACAGGCGCCTGATTCCACCGCGTTACGACACATATCGTTTCTCACCTTTGGGGTTATAGGGGTTATATATGAAGCAGGACCACATATGGTCAGTGCCACAAGCAATCGACTTAAGTCTGTTTGGGTACTTTTTACGTCAGAGACAAAAAAGTAGTTCTAGTTGTGTTGTTCCCAATGAGAATCATTTAATGCAAGAAAATTGTAAGAATTGACTATAGAATTAAACTGCATTTTTGTGATGTTGAAAGGTGCATCTTTGGTTAAGCTTTGGGAGGATGTAAAAATTGATATTCTCAAAATCTTGACTTTAACGGATTGCTTGCGGCAGCGACAGCAACGACATAGCTACTTTACTGACTAAAAATTCGTGCATAGACAACTGATATGAATTGGAATAATATAAAAGTTCTTTAAACATAGATCTACCTTATGGGAGTTCCTCATTTGAAGAAATTTACAGAAATCAGTTTTAAACATTTTAACTTGTTGGAGCTGGAGGGACGGTCTATATTTTAAGTTATCAGAAGGCTTGTTTCCGTAGATGTGTTTCGCCTGTTTGAAAGCGACCATAGCATATATTTTGGCTTGATTTGATGGTATGGGTTTTTCTTAGTCTTTAAGAATTGAGAGATTCAATGCAAAATGCTCTATATGCCAGATTTTGGCTTTTCTTGAAAACCCTGTCCACTCCAGAATCTTTTGATAAAAATTGTCTTGAGAATAATTTTTCTTCTCAAAATGCACTGTATCCCTCAATATTAGAGTGACAAAATTGGGTTTCGTTCAGACCTATGTTTTCAGAGAACAAAAATTTTCCATTTTTATCAGTTTTGTAATAAATGGATGTGCATTTTGGCATTGAGTTCTTCAATTTATTACTTTGTTTATCTTTCTTTTGTTTAACAAAATGTTAATAAATTTTATATAGCATTTTATGACTTGTACTCCACATCTGTTGAAAGAATACTTTCAACATGACAGTTAAAGTTAGAGCCTACTTGACTTAGTGGACTTTGTTCCGTGTAAACATTGGTCAAATGTTGTAGTTATCTCTGTAATTGTTTTAGAATGACCTTTTTCTGACATAATTGATCTGTAACTCTTTAAACCTTGAGTTTTTTCCTCCACTTCCGAGAGTTTTTTCTACAGTCACCTAAACCTGGTGCACTATGTCTCATTATAACCCCCAAAGCTTGCCTCCAACTTCTAAATTGCGGAAACAAAGGCTTAGTCTTTACTAAAAAACTTGGATCGGGAATAGTTCAGAAAAACAAGAAGAAACTATCACTAAATACTAAATTTTTAAAAACGGTTGTCACTAGTACCAGACGCGTCCGACGGGAACAGGGTTTTTTCCGCCGGACGTTCCCAGCGACCGATGGGGTTTTAAAGAGTTAAGTGAAATTCACTGTTTTGATTATTCAATTAAAATCATGATTATAGATATCTTTATCTTTATTAAATAAGATTACACAGATTGCTGCAGACAGTTTGTGTTTTAATCGTATTTCTACCCAAATGTTCAACACTAATACACCATTGTCATTGTCACATCCTTGTTTTTGCTATTTTTCCTCTTCGAATATGTTAGCCCATATTCACTTAATTAGATTTTTACTTGCAATGACCATCAGTGCATATATTTTATAAATATGTTCGATCACAAAGCTCTTTCCTTTCACATTTTGAAACAAAAAGAAACATGCCTCATCAAGGAAGTCAGCAACATGATTTTACCGATGTTGATTTCGTTGTAACATAAGTTTATGTGGAATTTTCGACTTTAGAATGACAAGTGTTACCGGTATGTATTTTCATGCTAGTTCATGGATTGAAAATTGAGATCGTGGTCTAGTTCTAGCATTTCTTGATTCGGTTTGATCTTGTTGGAACAGGACCCTCTCTTGTACAACTCAGACTTTGTGCGTCTTCCTTCAGAGCTCTGCTCTTTTCAACAGCTCTTGTAACGCTACCTTCACTTGTTCCATGCTTGTACATACATAGGCGCCCTTATAAATGTGTTCAGAGCTGGTTTGACAGACAGAAGAAGGAGTTTTACTTTTAGGAAAGAACAGTGTATTTGATAGAAGAGAATACATATTCTTTTTTAATGCCGTGTTACTTTTTTTATCGAGTAAACTTGGGGCTAGTTGTGCAAATTTGGTTTGGAGGAAGTTGTGAAACATTATTTGATTGTCGTGATATTGGAGTGTGTCCCATCCTCTTATCGTGCGATGCAGTAATGTATAAACAGACCGAGCCAGCATAGACTTTTTGTTGTTAAACCCTGTTGCTTCAGAACTGAACAGCCACTGACATTGTGGCTGAAACAAGCCTTATAAATGATACGGTGAATGACAGAGGTTAAGGTACGATTCTGTTGTCACATTACTATTCAAATCACAATATCCTTGGCAACTCATTAAAAGGCACCTGTACTTTGTCACTTTGTGCTGTGCAGCATATTCAATTGCTGTACATGAACTACAGTTGCGCTTTAGGGAATTTTGGGAAAAAGTTATGATAATAGATCACACGATTTGAACTGGCTCCATTTCACACAAAGAACAGAGACATGCCCATTTTATCCATCTGGAAATAAGTATTGCAAAGATGATTTGGATCTACAAATCCAGTTACGAAGGAGTTCATGATTTTAGAGATCCTTTCATGTTAAACAAAAATGTGTACTGTGATGATAAAAGTGCCACACTGATTCAAGAGTTCTCGATATATATCATGATGGTTAGAACTAACCATTCGTCGAAATTATTTCCTTAAACTGATTTAATCAAAATACTTGATGGGGTACAATTTTGACATATTATATCTGTCACTGTGATGAGGCCAGAGTGGATGTGAGAGAACGGAAGTTGGGTGGTTATTTTCTGCGAGCCTGCATGATGACTTGGTACACGTGTCGAGGAGAGAGAGAGAGAATCTGCTCTGACCTGGTGTATTTGCCACACAGAATAGTTTATGTTATCTGGTTCATCTTGGGAATTCCAGCAGTTCTATTGTCTCACATTTTCAGTATTTTCATGGATCAATTTTTTTCTTGGATCAGTCTTGTAATGTGTTATTTCTATGAGTCCACAGGAGCAGGGTCGTTTTATTCTCCCAGTGTATTGCATTTGGAATCTCAGCCACGTTTTGCCAGCTTTTACCCCCACTCTGAAAAATTGTCATCATTATATTCCCCAGTCCCCAGTCCGGTCCCCCTCCCCCCTCCTCCTCACCTTCACTTTGTTCCACCTCCGGTATCTCCCATTATTGTTTTATTTTAAAGTATTTCCAATTATCCTTTGATCATCTGTTTTTGATAAAAAATAAAAGTGTGGTATAGTTTACTTTACACCCTCTTTTACCCAAGAACTCACTACTCAGAGTGTCAGTTTTGAAAAAGCAAAAATCGAAGAAATGTCAAATTGAATTTTAAGAAATGTGTTTTGAAGTTTGAGCTTGTTGTACATTTGTGTTGCTTCTGCAATACATGTGTGTTATACTATAGAAGCAGGACATTTCATCATTAAACTGAACCTGCACTGTTGGCTCCATGAAATGCCAAAAGAAAGGAGATCTAGCCGCTTGTGACACAATAACAGAGCTGGTGTTCTAGACTGTTGTCAGTTTTTGTTTGTAGACATGGGGTCCCAAACTTGCCAAATGAGGCCTGCAGGACGATATTTTGCAGCCTGCACTTGACATCAAACTTAAGTGTTCATAAAGTGTATCGGTGTTTCTCACACTTACCTTCTTACCATAGATTTTTCCCTTTTTTTTATCGCTTATGTCCTACCTTAGCTCCAGTTCATGACAGTTTCCAGCGGTGAAGAACCGTTCATGTTCTCAACGACTGATAATAAAGATCAAAAAGACTAGATCGATTGTACTTTTATTTTTGATACTTTGAAATCTTTTTTTTTTTTTTTTATATAATTTAATGCGGCCTGGCCCTGACTTGCACAGATTTTTCCTCCAATGACCCCTGGGTAATTTGGGTTGTTGAGACCCCTGTTTAAGACCATAACTTACATTACAAGTCTTGCAGCCTTGCGGTCAATGATCTTCTGTGTCACACTCTCATTGGTCCTTTCATGCATGTTCACTCAAGGGGGAAATCCCTCGCTCGGTATTTGCATCAGGCACAGCTTTTGCTGACATTGTTATC